AACAATGATGTTACCAGCTCCTTGTTGAGAAAGATAACGTAGCTCGAGCGATTAAGTGATTTATTTGATAAAACTGCGGGGCAGCGCTAAAAAGTTTGTTCCTGAATGTCTGAGTGCGGCCGCAACGTGATCTGTGTGAGTGACTGAGCGTGTGCGTGCGCGCGTTAGATACAGTGAAGACAGCGCATTAGTTTAGAACTCTTCTAATTTTCTATTTTAAACGTAGAGAGTTTGTTAATTTGTGCAATGATAACCTACCAGCAATGTAAATATGATTTTTTAAATATTAGAATAAGTACATTACAATATAAATTTATTAGAACGAGTACATTATTATTTATGGGCTTAAAAACAAGATGCAAACAATCACAATATTGTACCTGGTGGGAAGAGCCCAATGTAAACATGAAACATATGCCATTACTTATATTGTACTGTGGTACAGTTATGGAGGCCCTTCATAATGCAGAGGTCAACTGCCTGCTCTGCCAATAGTTAGAAATGGCACTATAGTGTATAGTGTTAATAAACAGCTGTTTTACTAAATTCTGCTGAGGTGAAATTCACTGCAGTCCTGTATCGTGATACGTATCGTATCGTGGCCTCTGTATCGTGATAAATATCGTATCATGACATTGCTGGTGATACACAGCCCTAGAAATTATATATATGACCCATGTCATGGGTGGTGAAACAGAAGCACATCTCCACGGGCTAAAAATCATTATTTCAGTTATCCATGATGCCTCTCTCTGATCGCTGGTAAAAGATTGAAGACGTAGAGTATTGACCAAGAAAGCCTAGCGTGATCTCTGCATTCAGGATCAGTCAATAGTACATTCATCCTCATTTGTAACATCACGTTTCAACCTGCAGAAGAGCCCTGTTCCACCCTGCTGGTCTGCTGCCTTCATCTGGTCAATCCCAGCAATTTATCATCGATTCGATGCTAAAATCACCACGCATCAGCTTTGCTATGTCATAAAACAATTACATCATTGCGCCACAACATCCACTGCAAAATAGAAAACTGGTGGTAATTCAACACATGGCCTCTTTAGATATAACAGAAAGAACATATTCATCATCTATGCAAATGGATTAAAGACAAAGGTTCTAAACAGAGGTTTTCAAACAATTAGGGGTTCCACATAGAACCTTTCAGTGAATAGTTCTTAAAGAACATTTCCACTATAAGGAACCTTTTGTTAATGGGTGTTATAGGTTCTTCAAGGCGCACACACATATACATATATTGCGTGCAAATTACTAAATACAGTTCCTATAGAAATCAGTTCGTTCAACTCATGTATATCCAAAGAAAAAATCCCAGTCAACTGCTTCTATATTTCATATTAATTTAATCATGATTGCATGTTAAATTCCCAATCCTCTATGCTTCCTGGCAGAGTGACTTCGACTGGTCAATTCCAGCACTTGACTATTGATCCAAAGCTAAGAATAACTGCAACCATCATGCAACACCATTTCATCAAGTCACCACCACGTCAACCTCCAATGCACAATAATCAAAAGCATGACTTCAT